TTTTTGTGATGTTAAATATTTGAGTTTTATGCATATAATATAAGAGTTTAATTATTAGACGTGTAAATATATAAAAAATGTGTGTCATGCACATGTAAGCCTTAATACTCTGTCTAAAGTCGAGCAAATATATTATTTTTTCCTTACAGAACATATATTTTTAATTTTTGTCAAATTACCTCTCAGTAAATAGATCAATTGCAAAAGTTTCACAAGAAAGATTTCACCGTTCATCATCTTCCATGACAGACTATTTAACATTTATGCATTATCCGCACTAGAAACTCAAAATCTAAAATATGATTACCAAGAATAGACAAACCATCACATTTCACCAAGCAGAAAGTGTACAGGAATAAGTCTACCCAAGTGGCCTAAATATGTACAATAAATTCATGGCTTTAAAGCTAAAAAAAAAAAAAGGACTGCACATACGGAATGGGTTAGTAATAACTATCATCAAGCCTAAAAATCTTCCTTTAAGGGCTCTGAAGTAATAATAACTGCATATCAACCTCACTCTGGAGAGTTTTGAGCAGAAACCAACTTCATACTTTCGGAGCTTGAGAGAACGCAGAAAATAATGAAATAAGCAGTCCTGTAGGCATCAGAAAACTGCCCCCATGCTGCCTACTCTCTGTTTTTTTACTTCGAAGCCAATTTTTAGTTCAAATCTAAGAGGCCCAGAAGATTTTAGTTGAACGAATAACAGAAGCCACCAAAATTATGCAGAACGTGAGCAAACTATTAATAAACTTGAGATGACTAAAAACATTTAAGTGTTGCTGATGAGATATTCTGCTGTAGAAAAGGTTTATTTTACCAAATATGGCTATACTGAGGACCTCTTAGTGATTCAGAATCACTCTGTAGAATTTCAGCATTTGGAGAAACACTGTAATATTAAGATCAGAAATCTCCTTTACCCGGATCATAATATAAACTGCAGATTTTTTTGAAATAATGAAGTCAAAAACCTGTACAGCTTAGGTTCGAATCTAATATAAACTGCAGATTTTTTTGAAATAATGAAGTAAAAAACAGCTTAGGTTCGAATTGTTTTTACAATTCTACGAATCCTGAAAAAATAACAGATTCAAAGTCAATCTTGGCAGTATCATAGAAGTAATTGTTCCAAAATCTTGATCTAAACATTAGGAAGATTTACATACATACCACATAATTCTTATGCATTTATATATATGATACTAAAAGTTTCATTTTTACATACTACCACTTTACCTATGCTTGAAAAGATTTATTTCACCTATTAAAAGTTAGAATAATGGTTTTTTTGATGTGATATGCAAATTATGGGTGGTAAATATGTAAGGAAAAAAAAAGTTTATGTGGTATGTACACAAATGCCACTAAATATTATACAATTGGCATCCACTCCCAATTACACAAATGTGCCAAAATAAATTAACATGAATGATGCTAGGAAAAAATATAAATATTCTAATAAGACATTACAAGAATAAAATAAAATAAACGAACTCAAAAACTACATATTAGCTAACTTAAGAAATTCAGAGATAAAATCAGCACATATGGTATGGGAAAAATAAAGAGTTTACTCCTTTCACCATGTCAGTCATTATTAATCTTTAAATATTAGAGATTGACTTTATAAATCCTCAATCTCCATCTATTCTTGATTTCTCGCTAACTGTTGCATTAGGCATTAATGTTTTTTGCTCCTACGACAATTTCTAACCTTAATATAGTTTTTTACACTTTTTGCATCCAAATCCATCTACATTAATTTTATCTACCTATCTGATAATTGCATTTCCAAATCACAAGTCTACTTTCCTCTAATCT